AAAAAAACTCAACAGCGAGAGTCCACACACAGTGAGTTCATTACATCATTACAAGTTGTTGGAAAGTACAGACTAAACTTTGTCTCTTAGCACTAGACCCTTAATTAGGTAAACACAGATCACGACCGCAAGCCGAGTTAGAAATATATTTTCGAGATCAAAACGAGGCTAATTTTGCAGTACTTCTCGGGTTGACGGTTTTCAGGTCAGCGGTGAACCGGTTATTGTGGCGCATCGCTTTGGAGGCTATTTTGGCTTTCCGCATTAACCAGCGTGGTAAACAAACCCTGACGTACTAGCTAAATAGTTTTACTACGCTTCTACTGACCGGGGTAAACCGTGAGACATATCTGCTGCCGACAGTTTGACCTTAGTGCAGTTGTCAGTGCATCCTAACAAGAATCGTGTCAATCATGATGTGTCTCAAACAGATTACAAAACTGGTTGATTCAGAAACCGGCGGAATACCCAAATCGCACAAAGTGCGGACCGGTTCGATCGTATGGGAATGTAGCACAGCTCTTCAAGATGAAGAAACAACCAAGGGTCCATTTTCATTTGGTCAAAATACACAACTATCAGCTTGTTCCATTCCAGTTGAAATACGCTTTCACACCGAAACGATACCTCGGTGTGATTGGATTTTGAGCATTTCTGTTGCTATTTGATACATCGCATAGAGCAAACACGCAATATCACGTGGGAATTTCGATTACTCGGTAGAATTTCATGCGGAGCATGAGAATCTTGATGATCGCAATGGAACAGATAAAACGAATGAACACACCGTTGCATCCAGCGAATGGTGGATCACCAGCATGTACAGAATTTACAGAGCAATACCTGAATAGCAAATATGAAGAGCCTGAGAGAGTGCGAGAAAAGGGATGAGAAATGGGCCAGTAGAATTTTGCTTAATAACAGCGTAGTCGAAATCGTTGATAGGTTGTCGACGTTCCGGTCACCACGGGTGACCACTTTCAAGACTGGTTTTACAACCGAATGAAACTGGAATGATAACTTAAAGCAACTGGGTGTTAGTCACCGTGTGTTCGTGTGTTAGTCTTTGTGTTGTGGTATTGTTTAGTGCAAGGGTGGGAGTTGAACCTCCGTGGTGACCGAAACGTAGATAACCTACCAACGACTACGCTGTTATTGAACAAAAAGATTTTACCATAACATTTCACATGGCGCATCGACTATTCGATACACTCCGAACCGATCCCGGTTCTGACACATCAAGACAGACCGGAACCTGAATTTGGATTCATGACGGAGGCTGCTATCAATAAGATAATTTGCTTCTTATTTATGGTACACAGGTTGACGTTGTCCATTCCCGACAGAGCAGATATGCATGGTATCCGGCGCGTCCCCAGGTGGCGGAAAGAACGGCCGTTCCCGCGGTTAACCGTGAATAAGGTGACCTCACCAAATAAACGGTCGTTGACGATCAGCGGCAGTGCTCGAGGACGTGATGGTATTTCCGCCCGGTTAGCGTTCTCTGCACTGGGACGCCAAAAATCTGCTGACGGCATCGCGATGTGGCGTGTGAACAAATAAGACCACAGCCCCTTGTCGTGTTCCACTTATCCGATAAGGTCTCCCCGAAGAGGAGGCGAATGAGCCATGCGATTGGCTATCGGCTCATCGGGACCAACGCTGCTGTCTTGCATGACACGCTTGGCCGCGCAAAGGCGAGAGGTGCATTCTCTGATAAAAAGGCCTACTCCCGATTGGACGATCAAGTAGTACAAAATCCCACAACGCAAACAACCACGGAAGATAAAAATGATACAAATGCTGACTGTCATACTTTATTGTACCTCACATCCCAAAATGTTTATAACTGTTTTTGTTGCGTTGGCACCATGCTGGATTTCAAGCCAGTGGTAAAATAACAAAGCAGCATCGGCATGTAAAACGACTGACCAAGTGTTATCATGTTCAATTACGGCCCGCGAATATATCAGCTTGGGATTCATTGTTTGATTGAAACAACGGGTCACCATCATTCCCAATATCAGATCGGAACTTCAAGAATCTCATTCCTTATTTGGTAGCCTTGAGAGCATCACAACCCGGGAGGTGGGGAGAAAATTTGCATTTTGTTTATTACTAACATAGACGTGCTCCTTAAGTGTTCTGTGAAATTTGCTGGTTCAAATGATGTTACTAAATCATTGTTGTATCATTATCTACTCCACCTGTCATATGCGATGCCAAATTGGCTTTCTGAATGTATTTTTACAGCAGTGACATAAACGATACCTATCGTGGAACTAAAGCGTCTCGATGTTGAGGAAGTTGAACTAACCACCACCTCCTGGTGGATTTTGAGGAACCGGTGGATGGTTATTGCTTCGCCTGCTTCTTCCACGAGTGCGGCACTGAACGGGCGTGGATATGGTCAGCGGCCTCACTCACACACGTCCCGATTGCTGTAAATAAAACAAATGGTTATTTATTCACAGAAAGTTTTCTCATTCCTTGAAACCACCCACTGAGAGTCCTTGGCCGTTCATCTGGTGGACTGTTTCTCCTTTTTACAAGGCCAACATTTGGGCTGGTCAATAATCTATCTGAGAGCCTGAGACGCATTTGAAAATGCTATTTCAAGATCCGTTGGTTAGACAACGCTCAGTCTGTCTTATATCACATTAAAGTGGCATGTGCAATAACCACGAAGGTGACCTGGTGACGAATCACGTATTGATGACCTAAACGTGCCAAAGGCCGAGTCTCGTGCAAGAAGCCCCGGGCTGATAAAAGAACCAACATTCATAAACGTTTTCCAGATGAGTTGGCTGTCAGTCGTGCCTGAAATTCACCCAGGACCGGGTTGCTAGATGATTCGTGCAGTACACCATCCACTTAGCTGACGAAAACTTTGCGTGGATCACTATCCGAATCTGCATGTTTAATCGCCTATCTTTGTTCTTACGCACCCATAAAACCATCTCTAAATTAGACACAAGAAGTAAAATAGGAGCTGAAGACCGATCAGTTTAGCTAACTTAATATCCGCATATATGAAGCATTTTAGTGAACTCTACCAACGCGTACCCCATCGAATGGTGGGAACTTCACTCTGTCCGTTTGGGTGTGATTCTCATCCCCGTACCCAATCCATTGAAAAATGGACGAGGTAAACCGGTTTGTCAGCACAATTTTTTTAAATTACCAACAACAACAATTCCGTTCAGCTAATGGGCAACAATGTCTACTGGTAATGAAAAGAGAGTGCCCTTTAGACGAGAAAACTGCTCCAAATCTCCTCAAACAAATCGCAACCGGATACAAAACCGGAGAGGGAATTTGAAGATGATCATAACGCGCATATTGGGAAAAACCTCTTCAACCCTCCCCTTCCCCCCCCCCCCCCAAACAACCAACATCAGCTTGTGGTGCGGTTGAATCGCACTTTTAAAGCCAGTCGACACGACGAAACAAAAAGGGATATGAAACCAGAGTTGAACGCTTTATTGCATCCAGCAGTTTGAGTTCTCAACCGCACATATAAAAACCAATGCGGCACAGACACGTGCATACGCATTAACACACGGTAAACCATTGGGACGGGACATGTGCCAAGGCAATCGAGACATGGATACGGAGACGGACAGGGAGGTATATAAAGTGTGTGAGTGACTGACTGGTGAACAAAAAATATCACATGCACCACAGGATGAGTATTGTGAAATGTGTTTGTCTATATGATCAAATATTTGTGTATATCATATATACGAGGGGGTATACTCACTTATGCATTAAAAAAAACAGTGCTGAACGTGCGTAAATGCAGAGCCGACGACCTCCGACATTCGGCACTGGGATGACCAAACGGATGTGGTTATGAATGCTGCTCATCAATGTGACCGGGTGAAGGAACAGAAATGAGGACGTTCGGATGGAAAAAGAACCCCAGTCGACAGGTATTGCATCGGTGAAATCGGGTTAATTACGCGCCACGAGGAGGTTCTATGTCGCAGAGAAAGAAACAACGAATGAAGAAAGGACGGGGAGAAAAGGTATCATAATAAATATTAGAAGAGCAATCATGAAGGTACAATCGCACACGGGAACGTAGATGCGCGATGACCAAAAATAAACAAAGAAAGACACACAGTAGCAGTAGTAACGAAAATACCGGATACAAGACGGCAATGTGAACAAAACTCAAGAGTACTAGTTGCATAATTGCAAAAGAAAGAAGAAAACAACGAAGATATGTACAAGTCAAGCACCAGGCACGAAGGTGCACAATGGATAGACAGTATATTCAACACGGGGCAGATGAGGGACGGTGCAAACAAACCAAGCCCGAATCCCATTTGGCGGGGAACGGACGGGCACATTGTGCACACTTCAAAAATGTCTAGGATGAAGAATTCGGAGTACGTGAACAAGAATCACGATCGTATAATGAATCCATAAGTATTATGTAAGTCAAAGCACTGGGATTCGAGTGTACGCAACGTGTTGTTGCGCAGCCACAAACGCATGCACGCACGTTCATGAATGCGTCGGAATAAAGCAACAGTAACCATATGCATGTAACGAGAAAAGTACAGCAGCCAGAGATGCGGAGAGATGAAAGAAAAAGATATGCCATGATGATGACGCTGATAAAGTAGAAGAGGATCACACTGCAAAACAAAATGAATGCACGAAGTCAGAAGGACGTGAAACTTAAGATCAATAAATGAAAAATAATTCGCACGTGATTGGTAGTGTAGTATGTACGGAAATACAGTTGGATAATGACGGGTTTGATTTTGAGGTCGTTTGGAAATATCATACAAAGAAAACCAGAATATGGTGTGAATTGAAATTTATATGGATGGTAAGAGAAGAGGTGAAAACGGATGGAGATATGCTCAAAGAGGGAGAAAAGAGTAACACCATAACACACCAAACACAAAAAAACACCCCGTTGTTAAGGACCAGGAGGGATACGAGAATTAGGTAGACCGAGAAGAAACAGTTCGGGGAACAAACTAGGCAACTGAGATCAGGAAGGGAACAGTGGCTACTGTTTCAAGTGATCTTGACGCAGACGAGTCGGCCGTATCCGTTGTGGTTGTCTTGTTCACGTGTAGGCCCACAAGTTCGCTTGACTGCTTCAAGGAGACCGAATCCAGCGCTAATTCAAATTCGGTTGCAACGTGGCTGTTATCTTCCTCTGACCAAAGACAACTAGGATCAGACCGACCACATACCTGATCTGCATCATCCGGTTCGTCGGATTTCGTCATACCACCAGAACCGAACAAAAACGACCAAAAGGTTCGCGGTGGTGCTGAGCACTCGTCTAGCTCGTTTGGGTCACCCAACAGCCGAGAACGTGGAGCTTCAAACAGAAATGGATAATAAACATTGAATAAAAGCATGCTGAGATTGATCTGTTATTGTTACGGGGAATGAAAAGGGGTCCAAATCAGCCCACTCTATAAGCGCACGACACATCGGAGGCTAACAGACGTGTATTTATTCCGATATAGGAACATTCTATAACTCCTACTGAACCACGAGACTGAAGTAGAAACACTGATGCATGTGTGGCTACCAACTTCCACGAATCATTACTTTGAACACAGAAAAAAAACGAAATAAGATCGCTCAACTGTGTCATTAGCCAATCGAAAGCAAAAACCCACTCCCGGTGTTGCCAAATCGGAACGAACCGACTGCCACATGAAGCAGCAGTTCGGTTTAACAATGCGCGGTAGTGTGTCCGGAAAGTAGATAAAGAGGTAAGTAAAATCCCATCTGAAAATACTAGGTGAGAATTACGAATACAAGCGAAAGCAATGAGCCGTGGTGCAGGGGTCAACAATGCGGACTGACGATCTCACGGTACCCTTCATTCGAGCCTCGTTAGCGCCGTTCGATTTACCCTCCTGGAAGTCTTTGGTCGACTGCAAACCATTTGTTGAAGCATTTTCATGTATTTGTGACTGGCTGTGGTGTGAAATACCTCTCACCAGCTTGGAGTTTGAACCGATAAGCACCTAGAGGGACGCGCAGACTGTGCTATTGGCAAGCCCAGTACAATCACGATGATGAGTCCAACAAAGAAATCGCTACAGTAAACCCTCATCTGCATCCGAGTTGTGACACGAAGCAACCCACTAAAAGAGCAGGCAAACTTCGAGGGAGTGGTCGGGTGGTATACGCCTCCGGAACCCCCGAGGTTCGAACCCCCTTCACCGAGGTCAGTCACATTGGTGGTTCGGCGTAAATTCACCAGGGGCTCGGCTTGTTGCCACCAGGCCTGAACCGTCGGGCCCTTTACGTGGTCTCCCACTCAGTCCTGGGGTCATGAGCATCGGTTCACACCGACAGTGAACGCGTGTTTGGTTATAGTTAAATTCAGCACAACACTGCATTCGTCAATAAGCATGAAGAATTAGACGTACCAGGCTCCAGTGTGATCTTTGACGCGGACCGCGTCTGATAGCCTTGATTGATTGTTAATGTTGAACAGGGCCAATTCGTGTTCCTCATACAGTCTACCGTCACGTCTGGTTGAGAAGGCAACGGAACTGATCGAACGGGCAAGGTACCGTTAGTGTTCAACCAACTTGGAGCTCGAATTCTATTATTGTGGTACGGACCGTAAACAGGACGGCGTGACCACGTGTAACCGATCTGTGATTGAGAGCAGGCAACGTGAACGGAATACACTATAAAAAATGACTATATGGGGCGAGATGTCCCGAATGCGAGGCGGATACAAAGCATCAAATGAAAGTGTAGTATTGCACGGTGGAACTATCGCAATTAATTGCCACTGAGCTGCACACTTCAAGTAGTTTACGTGGGTTTCAATTTTTATGCGAACATCATTCACATTCCTCTCCATGCTGTCTCTTTCTATATTTCTGGTGCTGTTTCCATGCCTGATCCCAGGCATAATAATAATAATAATAATAATAATAATAATAATAATATTAATAATAGTGTATGTGCTAACTCGACTACAAGAGTGAATAGAACGCAACTGTAGAAACAAAACAATCTTTCTATTTCGAGAGAATTTTGTACAAAGGGAAAACATTTTGGGTAATACAGCCACAGATCGCAAAATGATAGTTACATTATAAACTACTGAGTGATGGCTTAGGGAGACTGTGGGATTTGATACATTCATATTATTTTACACATAAGCCATGAAACCACTACTTGAACTGTTGCCATTCGCGTAGTAATGAACTTGGGCGCCGGGGTACGGGCAAACAAGATTCAACGCCTTATTGATAGTGTCTGCAATAGTTTGGCTCTGTATCGGCGTTGTACTTCCAGACAATCTCATCCATTTGGCGACCGACTCCGACCTTTGGATAGCACAACTGAATGCAAACACGTGCGTCTTCGGGTCACTGATAATGAATTAGTGGTCAGTTTCAACTAACTGATCAACCATCCATTGAACCAATGACCGCGAATGATTGTCAGCGTGAACACAAACCAACGTATAGCGGCGGAGGTTCGTAGACAGCATCGTGATGCATCCGAATATGGTCCACAGTAGAATACGGTCTTCGTCTGTTGTTTAATCTATTTACATGACATTCCAAAAACCTATGGAAAGAATCTCCGGGGAACGCAATGGCCATCTTGAATCGGCATTTTACGATCCGAAAAGCGAACGAACCACTCCACCAGACATTGACTTCCGACAAATAAGACTATTTTTTGCCCGACATATGGCATGGGCTACAGTTCACTTCCAGGCAGAAGACCAAATGGCACTTGGACAGCCATTTTGTGACATTCGCTGAACTCTTCGTGCATTCTAACCGTACTATTCGAGAACAAATATTCCAAAAGCCAGTCACTTCAAGTTGATTAGCACAGGATTCCTGTATCACGAAAGTCAGCCACAACTTACTTGGCAGACAAAATTGCACTGATACATCTGATGTCAGACAAAAGCGTACGCTGTTCTAAGAAGCAAAACAATAACAACAGCATGGAGTCACGTGTATTAACTGTTATGCAAAGTAACACCGCACCACAGTGCCACAGTAAGTTTTCTTCTAAATGGCTAATTTCTTGAGCGTGTGATTACAACGACTTCGTAACGTCTGCATACTAGTCCGATGATGGCAGTACGAGGGCACCTCTAAGGTCAAACTGACTAGCTGACGGATTGGAGCACCTCCAGGGTCTCAGTTGCCATCCTGCGACGAACTTTGAACAGCGCATTTGTACTTGCGCACACCGTCGCGCACATTCCATATCTTCATCCCGCACAAGGTTTCATCATGAAGTGACTGACTGAAAAAACCACTACCGTCACGAACGAACACGGCAACAAATGGCGACCAAACTACGGAGAATGAAGAAGTTAAAGCGGGAAGAGGTCTACTTTGTTACTATCCGTAATACAGCTGCAGTTTCGGGGTCGGTCGGTAGACGATCTGGTAGATAACAGAACCACTATGAAGTATCCATTGAAGACCCTTGAGCAATAAACGCATGATTAGCACGGTGAAAATGGAGTGATCCTGTCGAATTGTGTTCGGTGCACGATAACAACTGATACACACAGGAGTGGGATCCATGGATGGCATAT